ATTTTCATTTATCATGCGATTAATTGATTTATTGTTTATCGCGACGACCTAATCTTAACCTTGGAATTTAGCTTGAATAGTTTTCTTGGCTACTTTTCAACCATCTGCACTATCTGATTACCGGTAATCAACCTGGGGTTGCATGTAATCTTGCATCCATGTCCTGGGAGGTTGTCCATTGTTCCAGGAACCTTGTACTTTTTAATAATGTCGACCACCAGCAAAACAAGAACACAAAGCAGATGGTGTTGTAGCGTTGAGCTTTATAATCACCGTTCTGAGCTCCTCACACAGCTCTGGCCTTAGATTTCTCTGCTCCACGGTTAGCGTGGCGCACTCAACCGTAACAAACAGCAACAAGTTTGTTCCTTTTTAATAAAACTAAAGGGATGATGAAAGGTTTGGGGCGCATGCGATACCAGTTCGGGTCAACTTGCTTGAAACATGACAATAATGCAAAGATTAATATTCTCTTTAAAGATACCAACAAATCGGTCTGTACTATCTTAGCTTATGTTTGTAAAATAAACGACAAACGCCTTTTCACAATATTTGCTTGTAGTAAAGGTCTAATTCACCAGAACAAGTTCAACCATGGCTATTTGTTGTTTATTTATTGCATAAAGATGGAATCACATCAATAAGACATGCTGGGCTGAAGATCGATCACCGTTTGATATTGTTACTGGTCGTTAGTCACAAACCCAAACAATCACAAATAACTAAATACAAATAATTCTGCAAAAGGAAAACTTTTGCTTTTAAAAAAAGTATAAAAATTTGCAGTATTTCTGAAGGTTTGTAGCAACACTCACAGCTCTTGTCGGTCCAGACGTGCAGCTCCTGGGCCAGTTCAGGTATAACCAGGAACGTCCTCCAGCCTTGACGTTTCTTGGACTTGAGGATGTCTCCAAAGATGTGGTCCCCAATGTATAAAATGTCCTTTCCTTTGGCCCCCAGCAAGTCACACACAATGTCTGAAGAACCTTGAGAAGAATTACATGTTCTTAGTTGCATATTTTGCATTTTTTGGTACAAAAATAAAAAAAATAAAAAAGAAATTCAGTGAGAGAGTGAAGGACTTGCCTCCAGAGTACACTATTCCATGCTGCAGGGGTCCCGTGTAGGTTCCTATTTTTAGGCGTCCTGTAGTCTGGAATGAGGAAAACATCAGATTTATCTAACCTAAATGAGGTCGGAGTTGTTTTAATGCTGCTTTACGAGCTGCGCTGCACTCGTGACTTCTCGAGTCATTTTTCCAGCTCACAGCAGAACACCTACTGAGTCATATTTTTTATAACGTGCACAGACTGTGACCCTCAAGTCGTACACACAGGTGTGTGTGATCCTATTCTTCTCACCGTGTCGACTTGTCGGAGCACCGTCCCCTCCCCAAAGAACAGCGGCTTCCTGGCATCCACAAGGATCAGATCAAAGTAAGACTGCCAGGGTCGGTGGGCGGTACCCGGCTGTGGATGGAACAAAGACAAGCAGGTGCATGTCCACATATTAATATGTTGGACACGTTTTTTTTACCTTTTTCTCTGCAACTTTAGCAGAACGTAATTTTACCTTTGGACCGTGTGGGAAGTCGAACAGGTAAGTCATGATTTTCTGTGGGAAAAATCAACATAAAGTGTCGAGTCAAGTCCAATTCAGCTTTGTTTAAATGTAAAGGAGCTGGTTTTTACTTACATCTGTGTATTTGTAGTCACTGTTGGTTGCTAAGAAAACTTTGGCCACTTCATTCATCCGGCTGAGGAGGAGAGGAAGCTTCCCCTGATGAGAACGGAGGACAAAAAGAGAAAAGCATATTTCAGAACCAGCCTCTTCACGGAGTGGCAGACACTCACAGACACTCACAGACACTCTGCTGAGCCCCGAGGACTTACATCTCTCACCACGTACTTCTCCAAGTTCTCAACCGTCTTCTCTTTTAACGTTCCCTGTGATGAGAAACACGAGAAAAATTAACTACTGCAAAGACCATCCACAGACATGACTAATGTGGCGTCCAACCAATGTCCCTAAAAGGACAGAACGTCCTCAGAGACACCGCGTTTCTACTAACCCCTCTCTCTATGTGCTAATCTACAAGTCAGGATGAGTCGGCATACCCTGACCACCCACAAAACACTGACTGTATGATAATTAACCCTCAGTGTTAATAATAACCCTTTGTGCTAATTAACCCTCTTTCCTGAGAAGACAGACATTCAGTCTCCAAGTGAAGTCAGCATCAGCAATAGTGGGGAGTGGTGGCGCAGAGGTTAGAGAAGGTGGGCCTGTAATCGGAAGATCGCCGGTTCAAGCCCGGCTACTAACAACATCAAAAATGTGGGTGGGGTAGGTGAAGCACCCACACCTGCCCCCACCCTCATTCGCCCCACTTTGGTTCCATGAGCAAGGCCCTTAAAACAGGTCTCTCTTGAAAATGAGTTCTCGTGGGTCAATGAAAAATAAATCCTGCTGAAATCCACCATCTGCTGGCCAAAAGTTGTACTGCATTCACCCTTAGAATGATAAAACAAGATATTACTTTCTTGATCCTGCAGGAAATTGTTGTGCTAGAGTTTCAGTACAAAGGAACATACACAAGGAATCACACAAGATATAAAAATAACAGAGAATATAAAAATACCAGCAACAAGTACTAAATAGGTTATGTGCAGACATCTGTGAAATGTATAATGTGTGAAATATTTTAATATTTTAATGTGAAAACATGAACGAGTTTATTTGTAGTGCAGGATTAATTTTATTGTCCTCTGTGCAGAAACGGGAAGGAGTTGAAAAGTTTGATAGCCACAGGGAGGAAGGACTTCCTGTGTTGTTCAGTGGAGCTCCTCGTGGTCTCAGTCTACAACTGAAGGTGCTGTAGGAAGAGTCCAGGGTGTCATGCAGGGGGGTTGACGTGTTGTTTATTTATTATTTATTAACCTTTATTTAACCAGGCAAATCCCATTGAGATGACAGATCTCTTTTGCAAGGGAGGCCTGGGCCTGAAGGCAGACTAACATCATGTTTTTAGTACCAGGCAAGCACAAGAAGAACATGCAAACTCCACACAGAAAGACTCCAGGTCCAACCGGGGATTGAACCCGGGACCTTCTTGCTGTGAGGCAACAGTGCTAACCACTGAGCTGTTCTGTTGTTCAGGATCTGGAGCAGGTTCCTCAGCATCCTCTGCTCAGACACCTCTGTCAGAGACTGCAGGTCCACTCCCAGAAATGAACCAGCTCTCTTCATGAGTTTATCGAGTCTGTTGACATCAGCTTTCTTCACTCTGCCGCTCCAGCACACCACAACGTAGAAGAAGACGCTGGAGATCACCGAGTGGTGAAACATCTGCAGCATGATCCTGCAGATGTTAAAGGACCTGAGTCTCCTCAGAAGAAAAAGGCAGCTCTGCCCTTTCCTGCAGAGGTGTTGGTGTCAGCTGTCCACTCCAGTTTATACCATACCATACCACTTTATTTATAGAGCACTTAAAACAGCTACAAGGCCAACCAAAGTGCTGTACAGAGAACAACAGGTAACACATGAAGCAAAATACAAAATGAGGTAAATCAGAATATAGACATAAAAACGATGCAGATAATGACGATAAACCAGTGTGGAGCATACAGGATCAAACACAGATCATCTGGTGTTGAAAGCTGCTGAATAGTAGAGAGTTTTTAAACGGGACTTGAAAACCGAGAGGGAGGGGCCTGTCTGACAAGCAGAGGTAACTCATTCCAACGGCTTGGTCCTGCTACAGAGAAGGCCCTGTCACCTCTGCACTTAAGACGAGTTCCTGGAACTGTGAGGAGCAACTGGTCCGCTGACCTCAGGGAGCGTGGTGGGACATACGGTTGTAGCAGATCAGAGAGATGGGGGGGGGGCGACACTGTTCAGTGATTTGTAGACATACAGGAGTATTTTGAACTGGATTCAAAAGTGAACTGGTAACCAGTGCAGTGAGGCCAAAACTGGTGTAATGTGCTCTCTTTTGCCTGTACTGGTTAAAAATCGGGCTGCTGCATTCTGGACCAGTTGTAGTCGTGCAATGGAGGTCTGACTGGGCTTCAGTTTAGACAGCCACCTCAGTTGGAAGAAGCATGATTTAATCATCCAAAAAAGTTCAATCTGGTCCTCTGGACATTCAAAAAAACAAAAACAAAACAAAGCAAAAAAAAATTCTAGAAACGTTTCGTCTCTCATCCAAGAGACTTCCTCAGTCTGAGGTGCTGTTTTCAGCTCAGTCTCCTCAGAAGAAAAAGGCAGCTCTGCCCTTTCCTGTAGAGGTGTTGGTGTCAGCTGTCCACTCCAGTTTATACCATACCATATTTATAGAGCTGAAAACAGCACCTCAGACTGAGGAAGTCTCTTGGATGAGAGACAAAACGTTTCTAGAATTTTTTTTGCTTTGTTTTGCTTTTGTTTTTTTGAATGTCCAGAGGACCAGATTGAACTTTTTTGGATTTTTCTACCTGGATTATTGAGCATGCATCAAGATGATTTAATCATGTTTACATGATTGTTAAGTTTCAGGGAAGGGTCCATTATCATGCCCAGATTAGTGACTCTTTGTTTTTCTGACAGGGTTAGAGCGGAGAGGTCGATGCAGTGGTTTGTGATCGTGTCGTTGGGAGGGAACAACATGACTTCAGACTTCTTTTCATTGAAACTTAAGAAGTTTAAAGCCATCCAGTCCCTGATGTCAGCCAGGCAGTTGAGCAGTGGTTGAATAGATTGTCCAGGTGGACCTCCAGATTCTTGTAGCAGTCGACAGTGTCCACCTTAGTACCCTTGATGTTGGAAGGGCTGGGGGGCTGGTCTTCCTATAGTCCACCTGCAGCTCTTTAGTTTTCCCAGCGTTGAGCTGCAGGTGGTTCTGTCCACCACACCTCTGTATTCAGCTTCCTGGTCACCAGTGGTGCAGCCCACAATGGCAGATCATCCAGAACTTCTGCAGATGCAGGATTGTGAATTTGACCTGAAGTCTGAGGTGTAGAGGAACAGAAACGGAGAGAGGAGCGTGCCCTGAGGAACCTCTGTGCTGTTCAGATGGTGTCCCAGGTTTTCTGCAGCCTCACATACTGTGGGCGACCTGTGAGGTCGTCTCTGATCCAGGTGACCAGCGAGTCCTTCACCTGCATGTCCAGGAGCTGCTGCAGAGCAGAGCAGGTCTGATGGTTACATTGCATATTAGATGGAGATCCACCCTAAATCCAAGATGGCAGCATGCTTTTTGTCCCTGTCAGTAGTTTGTCTGTTTCAGTGTTTTTATTAAGATTTTATTTTTATTATTATTATTTTTATTTATGTTTTGGGATCTAGTGTCATGACAAAGGTACTCATCTTTTTCTTCCCTCTCTATAATGCTAACAAATGACTAACTACTGAAGGACTTGGATTGTTTGTGTCCTGGAACACCCTGTGGCCTGCTCTCTCTGCTTGTGAACTGGATTTCTGGCTGTGGCCTGTTTAGAATAACCCTGTTTTGGAGGTTGAGGCATGCTACATCCAGCTGACCCAACATCTTGGGACCTGGTACAGCCACCCTGCTCTCCAACCTGAGGCCTGATGTATCCACCCTGCTCTGCTGAAGGCCCTGTTGCGTCTACCCTGCTTTATGGTTTGGAGCCTGCTGCATTCCACGTTGCTGCTATGTAGCTTGACGACTGCTCTACAGCCTGAGGCCCGCTACATTCATTCAGTTCTGCAGCCTGAGGCCAGTTGTATCTACCATGCACTGCAGACTGAGGACTGCTACATTCATCCAGCTCTACAGCCTGAGGCCAGTTGTATCTACCATGCACTGCAGACTGAGGACTGCTACATTCAACCAGTTCTGCAGACTGAGGCCAGTTGTATCTACCATGCACTGCAGACTGAGGCCAGTTGTATCTACCATGCACTGCAGACTGAGGACTGCTACATTCATCCAG